GAGAATTTTGTCGCTAAGTTGATTTTTTTTTTTTGTTTGCTTTTGTTTGTTCTTTGTTTTAGGGCTGTCTTGTAAGATGATTTTTCTTTTTCTTATTGAAATTTAATTAGAAGGTGAATGTCCTTTTGTATGCATTAAAAGAAAAATGATTTTGTCATAAATGTTATGGAAAATTTAAAGTAAAATTGAGAGAGAAAATATTGTCAAAATAAATTTTTATTATATAAATTATTTGATTATTTTTGTTTCCTATTGTTTTGTTGTACTCTCGTAAAAATGCTGATATGTTAACAACTATGTTATGTAATCAGGAGCAACATGGTTTATTTGCAATAAATTGTTCATTCTTCTGTTTCTTGTTTTCAGATCGGACAATCTTAATTAATGTTTGAAATAGTCATTAAGAATCGAAATTCTAACTATTCATTTAGCTATAAATTTTGGTAATTGGAAAGTTTTTAATAAGATTAAATTGCATGCTTTTAGGAGTTAACATATACTAATAAATGTGTCATGTAAATGAGGAATAGATGCAATTTAGAGCACAAATATTTCTCATTGGAAAGTATATTAATATAATTCAGGAATTTATTTCGAAAGTCTCATATTGAATCTATAACAATAAAAGATTTAAAATGCAAAAATTAAAAATTTGTAAGTGTTTCTTTGCCATAGTAATTGCTTGTGGGTTTGCTTCCTGAAGTTGTCTGTGCGTCACGCCATCTGCATCCCATTTAGCACAAATGTGCTGTTATACAATCACCAACCCGTAATCTTATCACACAAGCTCGCCATCAAATTTTCGATCACTGGTCCTCTATTTAATTCACCCGTTTCTATTGAGAAGTAATCGTATAGGGTAAAATTATTTTCATATCAATAAAATAATAGGTTTTTCATTCATCTTCTTCTTCGTTTGCTTATCCACTACTTTATATTGCTCAAGCTTTCCTTATTCTGTGCGATGTGTACTAATTGCCCGATTGTTTGTAGGCCACTCCACTGTCTGATGTTTCGCAGCCACGACTTACATAGGTGAGTTCAATTTCATTAATAGGTGAGTTGAATCTTGTTAGCGACAGAATTAGTAAAATGATATAAATATTAAATACTTGTCATTTAACAGATTATTCAGTATTTTTATTTCGTTCCAAGTAAAGGTGTGTAGTTCCAAATTATTCTCTTTTAATTATTCCAGATGAAATATTACATTAGTTGGCATTGGAAATGAATTTATTATTAAAAATTTGAATTAAGTTCAGTTTTTTGGTAATCAGAAACTTTTCGAATTTTCATTCACACTACTGACATTCAATTTTCATTCTTGTCCAAAATTTAATCAGCAATATTCGAAATTTCAAAATTTTAGCATGATCGAATTTTTATTATAATTTTTTTTTTTACACTGCCTTTTCATTTTTAACATGTTATCAAAATTATAGAAAAAATAAAAAATAATTTCCTTTTTCTTTCATAATAGAATTTGTAAAAACAAAAGCGGGGCGCGCGTTAGTCCTTTTTAACTTCCTTTGAAATAATTTTATTATTTTTTTCATTATTTTTTATATTATAAAAATAAAAAAAACAATAAAACAAAAAAAAAATTCAATAAAAATGATTTTGTCCGGTGTCTTTTTTTTTTTTGTTTTTTTTTTTTTTTTAATTTTCTTCACTGATGTGTTTATTAAGAGAGACAAGAGAATGAAAAGGAACAAAAAAAAATATTTTATCTTCTCTATTTTCTCAATATTATATTAAAAATATTCTAATACTCTCAAACACTCAATTCTTATTATGCATATAAAATTTCATTGTTGAATGCTTTTATATAATGAGGGTCCTGTAATTTAACAACAAAAAATAAAGAGAAAAATAAGAGCAACGAAGAAAAATAATTTAATATCCTGAATGGTGGATACAAAGTAGTTTTTGATTAAAAAAAAAAAATTTACTTTATTTTTTTGTTCTCCATTTTTTTTTTTTATAATTTTATAAGGAGCAAAAAAAAATGAATTATTAACGGTATTTTAATAAAATTATGAAGAAAATTAAATTAATAAATAACAAGATTGTTATAGTCTTTCTCTTTCTCCTTCTTTCCTCTGTCCTACTTCACAATCCAATATTTAAACTATATCCATTCCTCTCTGTCCCTCTTATTCCGATTCTTTGTCTTTAACTTCCATAATAAGGATGTAGTTGAGTAACTTTCAGATATACATTTTGTATTGAAGAAGTTTACCTATAAAAAAAAAGAAAAAAAAGTGCATCCTTATATTAAAATTAACTATTCATTGTTACTTTACTGTTATCCTTAATTTTTTTTTTTCTCTATATTTTTATTATTATTTTCTTTTTTATTAAAGAAATAATACTATGGGTATAACATAAGGAATTGTGCTGCTAGAACATTAATAATAACACGATTTTCTTTTTCTTTTCATTTATCTTTCATACTGAAATTTGCTCTTCCTGCTTTGTTTAACAAATTATTTCGTCGCACATACAAATACCATATTACCTACCATAAAGAAAAAGGAATTGAGCTTTTTGCACCATAGTCCTTACAATATATAGTCCTTATTACATTACAGTTCTTTATAATAAAGGTATACTCAAAAATTCGAGTGCTATTTAATAAAGTTTATTGAAAAACAAAAAAAAAAATGTTCTTATTTTTCTGTTATTAATTTACAAAATTCAAGAACTTCTTCCTTTCCTGTACAACATTGTAATATTTTAGATTTTATGATTATTTAATCGAGAACGTGATTTATAAATCAATAATTTGCAAGTAGAAAATATGCTTGCATACTTATAGGCTATATTTTAAGAATGAGAGCATAAGAATGAGAGCGTTATAGTGAGAGCATAAGCTTTATAAAAATTTATTTACCTAGTCAACAATAAATTTTGTTATTCTAAATTTTATTATTTTATTTTAACAGTATAGTTTTTCAAATTAATTTAAAAATTTATCAGTAAAATGAATGAGTGCTACTAGGTTTTAGAAAATTTATGCTGCAGTTTTGTAAATTATTTAGTTTTCAGAATTAGTGGGTAATTTGCCGACCATATATCTGACTACATATAATTGTGTATATAGGAAAATTTTTCCTCAAGATACCATTTCGCTGATTAATGCGACCTCAAAACCTTTTGTATTAAATTGTTTAATTTTATTAAATTTCAATCTTTCAACTCTCATTTTATATAGATTCAATTATATTGTAATTATATAAAAGTAATAAACCTATAACACCACAAAGGATCTATATTGTTTTGTATTAAAAAATAGTTATGAGCAATTTAATTTCCATTCGTCAATATGACGTACTACAATTCAATTATAATTATGAAAATTAATTTCAAACAGTATAGCGAAAGTTGTTCAATAACTTATTGTCATATTATAGTTATTTTTAATTTGTAATATAAAAGTTATTATTGTGAAACTTTAACAACATTACGGAAACCATTGAAATAATTTACAACTTTTTTTGCTGTTTCAGAACAAATAATTCAAAATTGTGTTTCATTTTACTTCAGTTTCCGACCAATTCCTAAACATAATAAATTTATATTCATTGTCTTAACGGAAATATGAGTTAATTTTTATTCCTGAAACGTTTGCAATTGTACCACAAATTCAAATAATTGTAATTCAAAGTTCAGTGTAAAAATTTTCAATGTAGATGCACGACAGGCTATGGATATTATAATATGAAAGTGATTCTTCCTTGTTGTATGGTCAGGTTATTTGAACATTATCAAAAATTCGGCAAGAAGGATAATAACAGGATGATCATTATTCATTTTGTTACACTGAAAAAACTGATTACTATTTTGATAGGCGAAATAAATACAGCAAAACCCTATATATGTGAAGTTGTTAAAAAAAATTTGCAAAATTAGTAATATTTTTGCCTTCATGCTGATTACATAGTTATTCTCCAGTAATATACATAGCTAATTTGTGACATTACAAAATGTAGCTAGATTTTATGACAATATTTTCAATTGACCTTATGAGATGTTAAGAATTCACTGCAATAAAACATGGCAGATGTAGTAATATTTTTTTTTTTGAGTGTAGCATTTGGAAAATTTCTTTTCATAGTAGGGATATATTGCCATATTTAAAAAAAAAATATTTCGAATGTCACAATGACAAGTCATTAATTTTTAATTAATTTATAAATTTTCGGTTAATGAATATTTTTCAAAATTGTCTACTACAATTTACTTATTTTTGCATTTCTATTGTTATTTTCCTCTTCTTACACATACTATGAAATTTTAACCACTTCCTACTTATAATATAGTTTCCATTGCTTCCTATTCGAATCATTTGAATATCACAAGGATTTATGGTTATAACGTTGACATAATTTGTTGTGGGTAATAATTATATAGATTTAACAATAAAGGTTACATATATTTAATTCAAATTATTCAATAGAAATTATTTTCAAAATGCGATTGTCATAAAATTACAAAATTACATTTCATATCCTTATATAAATGATAACCACATTCACAGCAAAATTTTGTTTAAATTGTAAATTTTTTTTGTGATTAAATTTTTTTTTCTGTTTTATCAATTTATTTTAAAGGATTATTTAATTTTGAATCATCTTGTGTTCCAAATCATAATATGTGTTTCATTTTGTGAAAAATAAAACTGGAATTTATGTTTCTTAAGCACTGCCACATTTTTTCCAAGAATTATGCAATTTCATATTTTAATCATGCTTGCATACTTCTTGGCTTAAAATATTTTGGTTAATACCACAAAAAAAGAACAATATATTCTCTGTGGAATATAAAAATTTTGAATAGAATTTGGATATTTCCGAATTCTATTAATTTTTTCAGTTGTATACTAGAAAATCTTTTTTAATTTCTTGTTCTTGTGGCAGTATTAATTCTATAATTGCAATTTTGTCTATTACAGATTATTTAATTGTCTTTTTCTTTTATTTTTTCTTTCTGTTTAGGGTCTGATCCTGGTTCATTATCATCTGCGTATTTATCAGCGGCAACTGGATTACCAACTTTTGGTGGTGCTACATTATCAACAAATCCTTTAGCTTCTGTTGCATTATCAGCAGCTGCAACTGCTGCTGCTGGTAAACAAGTAGAAGGTAATTTTTTTATTAAATATATTTAAAATATAAACCATACAACTTGAAATATAAAAGAAAAAAGAAATTTAATTAACTTAAACCTGGTTTAAAATTGACTTTATAAACTTAATCGTAACCTAATCAATAAATCGGAAGCTTGAAGTCGGGAGTATAGATTTTAAACCAACATAAATGCTTACTTTTAAATAAGTATTAAGAATTAAACCGCGGTAGAGTGGGAGAAATAAAACCTTAGATAGGCTCAAGAGAAAGCGTAAGGAAAGAGGAAAGGGAAAAATAAAATTAAAACTGAGCAAGAGGTATCAGAGCTACCATGGCTTTCCACGGCAAAGTGGAACGCGGAAGGCGTGGGAAGGAAGAACCACGCTTGAAAGTACAAAGAGGAACTTGAAGAAACTGCAAAATTAGCATGCGTGTGCATTACGGGTGTTATGAGATTCTCTACAACGGCAGCAATGTCGTCAATAGTGTAGCAAGGCCAACCATCCTACGATTGGATGGAAGGTCTAGTGACGGGGAAGCTATTATTGGGCCAAAGAACCGAGACATTCTATCCAATGGGATCATACATTTGTGCCTTCCAATGGATGATGTGATTAGCAGAAATGTCGTTGTAGGATATTTTTCCGGTAAAGTTGCTCGGATTCATCAAAAATTTAGGTCTCAAAGGAATGCTCTAATGATTCATTGGGACACTGGGCGCTCGTGATGATCTTTTAGGTCGAGATACATCCTCGACCCATTCTGCAATCTGCAATCTAAAAGTTAAACTCATAATCTGATGTTACTATATAGCACTAATTTCAGGTTAATTGTTGGGACTGAGTTTTCCTTCGATAGAACATAGAATGGTACCGCTTTGTATCATATATTTTTAATATAGAAATGGTACTAAAATACGATTACATTAAAACAGAAATTTAATTCCAAACCTATTTTAATCTAAAACGTCTTATCAGAGAATCAAATATATTTCCGAACATTCTTTATACAGAATCCAGAAACATAATGGTCTCATTTGCTATTAAAACTCGAATTGCTTCATATTCATTCTCATCATTTGTACTTTCACCTTATTATTTTTATTTCCCAAATATTCTGAAAAATTTCAATAAATTTTTGTTGCTTGAATATTCTTCGTCTTCAAAATTATTATCTTATAAAGTATACCCAATTATTTATTAGAAAATTCTTTACACAAATTATTCACATTGTTAATTTCCAAATATTCCAAATTTTCCAAATATATTTTAATTAAATGTTGACTAATTTAATTTTATTTTTTATATTAATTTTCATTAAAAATCTTTAAATTTTATTTCTAATATTAGATCCCAATTAATTGATTCAGAAAAAAGAGAAAATACACTCCTTCGTGTAATATCAAGAAAAAAAATATAAAGAAATTCAATTATCATGAAAAATATTTTATTTAAACCATCTTGTTCACATTATGAGCGCAAATATTATGATGTTCAATCCACTTTATATGGAATTTTTTTATATTCTTTTTTTTATTATTATTATCCTTTTCATATTATATTATAATACGAATAAGAATTTTAATCACCTTGAAACATGTTACTCTTTTTCTTTATCATTATAACTGTATAGTATTCTAGTATATTTGTGTATATACGGGAACATAGAGAGAGATTCATGAAAGGATATGATAACTGAAAATGATTTAAGTATTTCAAGGACCTTATTTTTATTTACTTATGTTTATCTCATTTTTATTTTCTTTCCTTTACGCTTCATTCCATTATAATAAAGTATCTTATAAGATATCTTTGTTATTTTTGCTTACACTTGTTATTAAAATAAGTTGAACGAGATTTTTTTTTTGTTATTTTCTTCTTGTTCGCTCTCTTTCAAAGATTATCCTTGATAATAATCACAAAAAGAATAAATATAATATAGAGAAAAATAGGAAATAAACAAAAAAAAAATAATAAGAGAAACAAATCTGATATTTTTATATTTCTTTTTGATTTTTCCCTTTCTTATTTCCTTTTTCACGTTTTATACTTTCTGGTACTCAAAATAAGTAAATATTTCGTATTAATGTGAAATGATAAATTAAATAATAATAGTAATAAGAGAGAATAACCGTTATACTATATGACTATTATGTCATCATTATCATAGCTGTACATCATTATTAATACAAAAATCAGAATAATGTTAAATTTTTTAATAAAAAAAAAAAATTTGATAAATCAATGGTGTGTAAAGTAGCACATTTCCTTTAAGTAATTAAAAATACTTTGAAAAAAAAAAAATAAGGTGATGCTTCATGTTATTTTCTTTGTATCATAAAATTTTCTGTTTTTGCATACCTTTAGGAGGAGAACAAATATTATAGAATTAATACAGTTTGCAGAATAATGTGAATTATAACAATATATTTTTGGACAAAAAATATTTACTATTACATTTTTTGTGGAGATTTGATAATTCCCGCTTTTAAGATCACGGTTAATTTTAGCTGTCATATGTTACAGTGTAGAAGGAGCAAGTCACAATCTTGTTCCGAAATTATAATTCAGTTTCGATATAACATAATTTGACAAAAGGTGGAATATTTTTTGTGCCCTGCACGTTCGTGAAAAATATACTAACTTTGGTATGGAGTTGTAACGACTTGAAAGAGTCATTTCCGGTATAGGCATACTCTTGCTCAGCGTAAAATTCTGGGTGGATTTGGACATGTCCGTCGTCAAACTTTTACAAATTGTTTCTTTTCTGTAATGGCCGGCTGCTATTGTAATTTGACCAATTCGAAAAAACGAGTTCGGGTAGCTGCCATACAACTTGAAAAACAATTTTTAAATATTTGGTAAAATAGAAACTTGACAGTCTTGTGCCTAATTATAGGTCAGACCTGTCTGCGAAGTTTATATAGAATAATATGACAAGTTCGAATAATTGCCGTACAAAAAATGAAAGCTAATTCTAGATGTTTCAAAAACAAATTTTTAAAGTCAGCTTGTCAAAGTATAAGTCAGTCAGTTCATAGCGACTGAAATATTTTTACTTGTTTATTTAAAGGTGTCAAAAATTTTGTAAGAATAAAATTTTTCAATTTTCTCACAAAAAGCATTTTGGATAAAAAAAAAATTTTCCATTTTTACTTGTTTTTTTTGCTTCAAATGTAACTGTAATACGAACACTTTTTCTTTTCAATTAGAAATGTGCTATAATAGGTACCTTGTTATTAAAAATGAATTCTATATTTGTATAAGTTGTTCATTTTTAAATGACAGACAACTGATATGGAGCTCTGGAGAAGGGGAAACAGGGCCAAAGAACTGACATACCCACTCCAATTTAAACCCATTGTTGTGCCTGCCGAAGGGGTGATATAATTAGGACGCATTAACAAAAATTTTGTTAAATTTTTTTAATAGTTGGAATAATTTTAATCGTAATTTCAATCAACATACACTTGCACATAATGTGATATTTAATTAGATTGTACATGGATTGTACAAAAATACTTTTTAACTCCATTTTACTCCTAAATTTTATGAAATAACTAAATTATTATTACAAAAAAAAAACAAATATTGCAAAAAATTTTTAACATCCTTTCATATTTTAAATATTCTCTTCCGCTCTATTTTATAATGTAGATAATAATATTTTTTGTTGATTCAATCAACTTCATCCTTTTTCAAATTTCGTTATAAAATAATAATATATGCACACGATTATATAGATAAACACATATATTTTGAATAGCCTATGATGTGCCTATGAGACAAGTTGCTTCATAATCAGTTTTAAGTTTCTCCAAATATTGAATGACAAGTTAGTATATTTTTAGGGTGTCAGTTAAAAATATCCTTTTTGATTGATGTACACACATAATATGTAGTGTAATAAAGAATATTAATTCAAAATATATTATTTTCTGATAATTAAAAATGTTATATTTTTCGGTATTAAATTCGGTATTGTATTAAAAATTTTCCAATTATCATTGGAATTTAATAAAAAAGATTCGAAAAGATTTTGAAATGAGGTTTGGTTAATGAATGATAAAAATAAATTTTTGATAATTTTTTCTTCCTAATTAATTCATTTGGAATTACGATACAGAAATTTGGAAGATAATGTTAATGTTAATTTCATGTTATGTAATGTTAGTGTTATGTTATGTAGGTCCCGATTTTTTTTGTAATTTTTGTGTGTGTTTTGTTCTTTCTCCTTTATTGAATTGTAATTTAATTTATATTTAAATTCTGTCATTATAATCAAAAACTGGTTTAAGTGAAATTTGGTCCTATTGCAATTTTATTTCGAATTCAAATTTTCTGTCTATTAAAATTGAGTATTCTGTTAAAATTTTAACTTTTATTGCTTTCGGTTTGGCAAGTTTTCAGTTTTAAACACAATTTCAATGTCAAGCTATCAAATTTGCGAATTCACGAAAATTTCTAAAATTTGATAGATTTTTTTATTTTGTAGATCACACCAAATTCTAAAACTTAATAAATTATTTTGGCAATATTATAAAAATTAGAAAATTTTCGCTTTGTTATAGCATTCCCAAATTATTTTTATGATTGAATTTAATCGAGGACTTTAGAAGATTTTCATTGAGATTTCAATTAATTGGAATCTTACACAATTTTGTAAGTAAAACTTTCAATATTGTTTTTTTTTTTTTCTTAAATTAAAGTTGATCTTTAATTTTCTTTAAGAAGAACTACTATAAATTTGCCACATTTTGTTCAAGACGTACGACATATATGTACATACATATATGTATTAAGCAGAGTGTCTGATTTATAAGTGCACTGACATATACCATTACATGAACCCTAATTAGTAGGTACAATTTTTGTATGGCAGTAACCTTACATGTTTACAATACAATAAATTTTAATACTAATCTCACCACTTCTGTGTCAGATAAAAAGATGAATAAATGAGATTTTGAAAGTTCGAGACAAGGACATTGCTCTTTGTGAATATTGAAAGTTCAA